CACAGCCGCGGACAGGGGCACCTTGACGAATTACTTCTGGGGCACGGCTTTGCATTACCTCACCCGTCCAGGTTACGGTTTCAACTCGGCCCTATTTCCTACCAATGAAACCGAGGACTTTGAAAGACCCTTCCACCGAGACTACACCAGGCGAGTTGAAACAGAGGACAGCATGCGCCGGAAGTGTCTAGTCCGGCCTTTGTGGATTTTTGAAATGGGAATACATCATGTTAGTAAACCCTACGAAGAGTCTACAGGTCCGGCCCTCAATCCCGGATCAGAGCACTCCGAAATGGCAGTTGTGCATCACTATCGGAAGGGGGACATTGCTATTGATGGAAGGACAATTGAGGACAAATCGCTTGAAAGATTTCTTCCGTAAAGGAAGGAAAGCATTCCTTTTGTATTCTTTTTGCTCTACCTCAGTGTTATATTGTTTTCCAGAGCGTTATTTTGATATTTTATTTACAGAACGAATGCGTTAAATATATATATATATATATATATGCGCCAAGTGTATCTTTTGAAAAAAGTTTGCGAAAATCATGCAATTTTTTATGGGATTGATATAAACTAAAACTAATTGTTTCACTTTCTGTGAACGGATTGAGTTTACTGTGCTTCATAACGATATGATTAGCTTGCAGTAGCGATAGGTTATCGAGCTCAGCAAACATCAAATGTTAGCCTGCAACAAGATTTCGGTTATAAATGACCACTGTTGCGAGATCGCATCAATGATCAATCGTTTTTGCAAATGTTTTGGCTTTGAAGAGAACCATTTCAGTCAGCTGTAGACGCAACATCGCCAGATATTGGACTTTGTTAAATGCACATCTATTCAATTTTTTTCAATTGTTATATATGATTCCACTCAGCAGTTTTGAAACCTCATCAGAAAATGCATAATTTAAATCGCTACTGCAGAAAGTTACATTCCACGTGAATTTTCTACTCAAGGAAGGTCATCCTTTTATTTTAAAATATTACTGAGCTTACATATTATTTCACGTATATCTGATGCATTGTAGTGCTTAAAAACAGCAACGTACACGCTGTATGGTTTCCAGTTAGGCCTCTCACTGTCTCTCAAAAAAATGAAGTAAATGTCCTAGTCAAATGCGGCTCTCATTAGCACAATTTACTATGCTACTTGAAATATATAGCAGCACAGGAAATTTAGTAGCATAGTATTATCTATAAGCGCAGTTGCGCTTGCTTCGACTAAGAGTAACAGATAAAAAATTATCGCAAAAGAATAACCTGTTCCACCTGTCAAAAATAAATATATCTACAAAAAACGGTCCCCCAGTAAGAAAATTATAGCATGGAAGTTGTCAAATACCTTGAAGATCTATGCTTTCTAACTCAATAATTTGGGCGGTGTTAATGGGTTTGATGGTAAACAATATTGTTAGTCTCTTGTGACTGAAGTTATATTCGACAGCAGCACACAAAGTCTCCTAGTATCCGTAATGGAATCCGGTTTACATACACTTCAGACGAGTAGTTGTCAAGCATACGTAGGCTTTTTATAAATTCTCTCCGAGCCATTATATTTATATGGAAGATAAGTACTCCTTTGAATTCTCTGATGGAAATTTTTGTAAGTTTGTATATGTTTACAGAAATGTCCGACATTAAGATGAGTTATTCGCGATTAAATTGGAACATAGCACAAAAATAAAAAAACTTTGTATTGGCTAAAACTAGTGACTATCAAATAAGGGGTGGATATCAAACAATCCAAAAATTTATAGCAAACGAATAAACATCGGTTTGTACGGTACATAATATGTCTCTACATGTAGCTAAATTAATTAAAACCGCTATGGACAGCAACAGTAAAAAATGGCTACTTAGTTTTCTGACTAGTACAATTCAGGTATTGACCAATTACACATTTCGACATGCAGTCAAACCTGGACTAGTTAGCGAAATCATTCAAGGTGATATGCGTGATTTTGGTCACGACTTTTATAGACGCGAACTTTTCAGTGTTTTGGGGAATCTTTTCTTCCGAAAAATGACTGCTCGGGCCCGAAAGTTAGTTCAGTAGCAATGAGATTAAAATGTGTAATTAAAAGGCCTTTCGTTGGCCCAGCGGCAAGGTGGGCCGCTCCTATATAATATTATTACTGAAATTGCAAGAAAAGTCAATTGATAAAAATCTTTACCTATGGGGGGGGAGTTTGCGGACGTTCTGGTTGCATCGTATTTTTTAAGCTTAGTGAATACGAAATCTAATCAACAAAAGAAGCTGGACGCCTCATTTCCTGGGTATTTCGTAGACGAAGGTCCATTTATTCATAAATTTCCTGGAAATAGTCAGGGGAACGTAAAAGGTGAGGCGTTTGTGAGATAGCAGCGTGGAGCACTTTCATTGCATTTCCATTGTGAAAAGTTCACCAGAGCCAACTTTAATGTAAATATAAGGTCTACTAAAATCAAGTAAGTACTATGTTTATTGTTATGTTAGGAATGTTGTTATGTTAGGAATGGGTTTGTATGTGTGGATTGGAATTACTGTAAATTCGCACATTAATTTTCTCGGAAAGTAAACAAGACAGAACTGTATTTATTGTTGCCGCTCCGCTCCTTATGTTAAAGGTGAAAAAGGTGAAGGTAAAATCGATCGATCTCAAGCCCAATCCTCGCACACCTGATCGATACAAATCACCAAGTTGACGCGAGAGAGGCCTTTCAAGTCATACACCAGGCACCCACGCTTTACTTTAAAGGCCTGCGTAAACGGGTGCTAGCCACAGCTGAGGCAGTGGCAA